AAAAAAAAAAAAAACCGGAAAAAGGTCCTTGAAAATGTTCGTCGTCAAGCAGCGATTTTGCTGAAGACTTTGACATCGATTTGACGTCGCTGGGGTTCGAGAGCGCCTTTGCTCTCTGCTTTGCTCTTGGATTTGCTCGTCGTCTTCGTCTCGGCATGCGGTTTACCACCATCGAAACCGGCACCGGCTTTGGCGGTCGAGGTGCTGGCACTCTTGGCGGTGGCCTTTGCTCCAGGCTTTGGCTTGAGATGCTCTAACCATTTCTGCTTGTCCGCCTTGCTGTAGATGGTGAAAGGCTCGCTCGCATTGCCAGAATCGCCCATCACGACGATGCTAAGGAGGGTAGCGAGCAGGGAGACGATTCTAGTCAGGACCAGAGGTGACCGAGGGACAAGACGGTGCAGCGTACCCTCACATGTACTCATGCTCCTTGGTCTCCAAGTCGTCAGGCAACTTGACCTCCTGCTTGCCAACCTTTAAGGGCACGTTCGAGTGCAGCACCCACTTCAGATGCTCGTTCGTCTCGCCTTCCTTGCGGTAACCCAGTCTAATTTCTCCATGCTGCAGCGGGACAGGTTTGAAGGGGTCAAGCGCGTGGAAAGGAATCAGCAACGCTCTACGATGCGCCCGTCGTGAGGACTTACAAGGTCCCCAAGTTCAGCTGGCAACTTTGATGGATCCCATTTCACGTTGACCGTCTGTCCAGCCAACCAGGTAGTGTGCTTGTGGGGCGAGATAACGTTGGGATTAAAGACGATGCGAGGAGCAAGGTTCTGCAGGCTAGGATCCAACTCGCGTTGTTCGATGTCAAGACCGATCAGTTGGCTGCCTGGATTGCGAGACAGCATCATCTCGTTGCCGACGTCTGCCGTCATTTGGATACCGCTACCGCTCGCGATGGACCTGCATTGCGAGGCGCCGAGTAGAGAGAGCGCAACCCACGTCACAGCGGGAAGAATGCTGAAGATCATCTTGTTTGGCCCCGCTTATGGATGGTGCGACGCTTTGAAGGCTAGTTTCGAGGTCGAATCGCTTTGAGGAGACGTAGAGTACAGCAGCGAGCAGAATCCCACGATTTTGCGATGCAGAAAGCGTAGGTGGGTGCGCAAGAAAATCGAGGTCAGATCCGAAGGCACTACGCTGAGAGCAGGACAGGGTGTCAAAGGCGATGTGGTCACGAGTATATATACATGTCTTTGCCGTAGTCAATCGAATACTAGTCTTGAAGCTCCCGCCATCTCATCAGCCTCTTGTTGTGGCCATCTCCGCTAGCATGCTTTGTCTGTGTTCCAGCTTCACCTTTGCTGAGACTGGCGCGCTTGCATCCTGACTGCGACTGAAGCTGTTTCGGGGTACTGCAAATTAAGGACCTACTACGGGCCCGGGGGAAGGGTAGACGTAGGACGTAGAGGGAGTATACGTGAGAATGTGCCTATTCAAGCACGCAGCATCGCCAGCATCGATCGCCCTTCGGAAAATCTCATTGCGACCAGCAGCATGCATAGAGTCATCACGGCCGCGGGCAAGACGTGGCGCTCGAAGTTCTGTTGCTGCTGCGAGTCTCAAGAAATGACTGACTGCATGGCCGATGCTAGTCGCGGTCTTGCAACCGCAATCACAGTACTTGAGTGTGATCACGAGTATAGCAGTCATCTGAAAGACACAACAGTCACAGAGATGTGAATGCAGCATGAGCATGGCGTACGTGCAGTCGTGCACCGTAGACTGATCAAGAATCAAGCGACTCGAAGCGTTTCACGGGCTGATGATAACATTCCAGCTTCAGCACAGTGAAAGGAGCAGCAGGCAGGCATCGCAGCCGTGTAGCTCTGCCTCTTGCTGTCCAATCACTGAATCGGTGCCTATGTACACACCCCTCGCAATCGTGAATGCTGTATATGACCTCACATGGCAATCGTGAATGATGACACCAGCCCGAAACACAAATCAAGAATCACAATGTTCACATGACCCCGCGCCGATAAACACCACGTACAGCCACTTTCTAGCTTGCGCCTACGGCTCGCGCGCCAGCAGACACACCCTCACACTCACGACTCACGTACGCGACTGCTGCTTGCATGCAGCAGGCATGGTCACTTGACTCCGTCGCAACGGCCCCCGCCAAGCAGTTTGCTCGTCATTGTCGCATGGGTACGCGCGACCATCAGCTATGAAAGTCCGCGGAACTGCGCAGACCAGTGAATGAATCGAATGAATGGCCCTTTCCTCGTTTTAGACAAGTCATGCCTCTTATGGCATCAGAGACCTGACGAGTCTGAGTGGCCGCATGGGAGCACGCATGCAACAGTCGTGAGCGTCTCGACGAGGGGAATAAGCAACACCAGACTTGCACCCGCGTTCAAAATTGCACGGTCCTTCAGTCGATCGTGAGATGTGAGGTGCGTTCAGCTTGCTAGCACGCATACCTCCCCACCAGGACTGGGCAGCCCACACCTCATTCGGAGAGAACCACCATGCAAGCTGGTCTGGCGATGTGTGGGTGCCTGCCACGCCAATCACGAATTTGCGCAGCTGGATCGGTACACGAACGCGTCGGGCAGCGACGCTTAAGAGCGGATCGAGGTACGATGGCCGCGGTGTATACATGCTGCGCAGGTCAGATATATACCCTAGCTAATTGCTTGCGGCCAGCAGCGGGCGGCGACGAGCACGCAACATGATGGCCGGGCGCGGTACCACCTAGCTGCGCCAGTCCAATTGCACGATTCACACTCACACGACGGTACCGGTACACGCGCCGTGGGCGTACGGTGATCATCTTGTCTGCTGATGTGTGAGATCATTGCAAGCTCAAAGCCGGCCACAAATGGTGCGCACCTGCACGAGGCTCACCTACTGGACGCCCCACCTATGCGATTTATTGCAATAATCAAGGATTTGAAATGCAATTACTGAGCGTCTTGAAAGTCAGCGCCGACTTGGTTGCTAATTTGCCTGCAAGGTGCGCAGTGGCAAGGTGCGAGGTGCGAGGTGCAATCGAGGCGTGAGGGCAAGTGAGAAGGCAAGAAAGAAGCGCTCTGATCACAAGTTTCACCCTTCAAATGACTGCACACAGACATTCTCAAAAGCGTGTACTGTGAATGGACTTGTAGGGATGCCGCTGCTCATGTCGCGGGCCCTCAAGATGCGCTGCGTGACGTGTCGAAATGCAACGAAAGCTCTACAACTTTTGCTTGCGCTCAATTGCGAGGGTACTGTGCTTTCCGGATTTGCTTAGCGTTGCTGACGCAGGCATTTCGCAGCTCAGTGAGGGTTGGTCCATCTTTCGTACCAGTCGTGAGTTTGAGTGCATCGATATACACGCATGTAACGCACCGGTGCGTCGAGACACGCTTCATCGCACAGAGCTGGGCGAATATTCCGCTCAAGGAGGGGACAGAGTCTGGCATGCGCAAACGATGTCCATGGGTTGAGAAGACAATGTACGACAGGTGATTGGCTGCGGGCCAAGGTGACGTCATGTCCCCTCTACTGCGTCTTTCTGGTCTCCTTTTGGCCCTTTTGACCCTTCTTGTCCTCGATCTTGTCTACAGCATCCTTTTCGTCCTCCTTCTGCTTGTTGACGATTTGTCCGAATTCGTTGACTCTAGTTTCGTCTACTCCATAGATATATCTCTGATAAAGGAAGATCAGGAAGATGACGTCATCCCTGAAACAAGCCAATCTATGCAGCCAGGGCATCTTGATCGCGAAGGCGAAGAAGTCGTCCACCACTGCAGAGGCCGGTACAGAGCGAAAGAGGTGAGCGACAGTTAGCACGGCGCGGGAGCAAAAGCGACCTCGGCTCGAGCTGCTCACCTGTGCCAAGGATCTTGTAGATCATGGTCTTGGCTGGGTACCCTGCGACAGATTTCATGTTGTACTGATGGTTTGGTTTGATGAAGAGCAGTCAACGACGTGTGCAGGAACCACGACTACGAAATCTCCATGCATCACTCACATTTACGAGGAGCTGGGGAATTAGGCTCACGAATCCGAACGCTACGCACGACAGTCCTCCTATATCAGCGATTGCGACATTGTTTAGATCGTTGGAGTGACTCTGGCTCACCATAGACGAAAGAGCAAAGGGTCCCAATGATGAATGACCACCACCCCTTGTGCTGCTCGTAAAGCGCACTGTAAACAGTGTATCCAACCAGCACAGGTCCCATCACGATGCCGCAGATCTTGAAGGCTTGACGATCGTACTTTTGCGTCCGCAGCTCCTCTTCACTCGGCGTCCTCTTGTTCTGCACGTCGAGCTGGTAAGGCAGCCACCCGAGGGGCCCTTTGCGGTCTTCAGCGCGTCGGGGAACGATCCCGACGGTCACGGCCTAGGAAAGAGATGCAGTGCAGGCGTTCAACATTGAGGGTCTTCGTGGTGTAGACCGTCAAGAGCTCAAGCAAGACGACGACGTCTACTCACCTTGGTCAGCTTCCACGCTTCAACGAGGACACCGACACCATTTCCGGCCAAGATCATCCAGCTAGTCTGCTCTGACTGGTCGATGAGGTACAGCAAGATGATGAGCTGAACCACAACATTCGTCAAAATGGATCCGATGGACACTCCAGCGAGC